CCAGTCCCCGGGTATGCGTGGTAGCCAGGTGCGGGTCCGCGAGATCTTTCTTCGGTTAAATTGATAGCTCGGGAACCTGAGAAGCTAGAAGACTGGAATTTTGAAGGGGCGTTTCCTGACAGTCCTGGCGGCCAGTCTGAAAGTCTTTGAAAATGATCGATTCTGCATTTCCGAGCAGGTTCTCAACTCAGTGATCGCATAAGCTAGAAAGCTGCAGTTTCACGTTCCTGGCCCATGTGATATTAAAACGCCTTAAAATCAGCATTCGTATACGTTGGTTGTTGAAGAAAAATAAATTTCGAAGGAAAACTCGGAGTGTTTATTTTTGTCGCCTCCGCTCCTACCTGATTGATTAAACACACATTTGTTCTGATTCTGTTTTGCATCATATCTTCTCAAAAGTAAACATCAACAATATATATTGAAATTGTTACTCCCGCTACTCGTACTTTTGGATCTAGCTCTCGCTGTTTCAACTGCATACGCGTCGTGTGCCAAATGCAGCATTTTTGCTATGCTCATGGTTAGTTGGAATCTGCCCTTTCCGTTAAATATAATTAACCTGTAGATAATTATTATCAACCACTCGAACTAAGTATCTCTCTTTTAGCTCTGGTACCGTGCAAGAAAAGCTTAGAAGTTCGCTCCCGTAATTAGGCAGAAAGCAAATTACTTTCCTGCTTTGCACTTCTGCAAATGAAAATGCATCAAGGCGAATCATCTTTCATTTATGCAAAATGCATAGTAACTGGCAGCGCTCGCGATTATCAATACTATTTACTAGCGGCTGATCGGTTTGTTAGCGCTCTTGCGCTTTGAATCCGTCTCTTCATGAATCCGTCCAACTTATGTTTTTAGTATCGACAATCAAGTTTCATGGTATCGACAATCAAGTTTGTTTTCTCAGCTTACTTATTTACTTACTGTATAATAAAAGCCTCTTGTAACCCAGCGTGCCACAAACGACCACCAAGCACACATGAGCGTTGCATCTTTACTTGACGAATAACGTTTGCCAATAAATGGCTTAGGGTCGAATGGCCCCAGCACAGGATGCACAAAATATGTGACGACTGCACCTCATCAAAACTCCAGCACCTGTAGTCAATGTTTTGGTAGCCACTGTACTTTTGCTCAACGCACTACTCTGAGAAAGTGGCGGTTTGTGCGTCTGTTTGTCGCAAAAAGGGAACTGTAGGGCAATGTAGGCCAAAATGCTGCAGTTTTGTGAATACTGCATATATACAACTTCAGAAATGTGACATCAACTTGCATATCACCACATGCAGTGGATGGACCTAGGCACCAGGCGGGCCGGTGCGATTATATGTTTTTGTACTTTTTGTGCCGTAGTAAGATCGCAAGGAATCACAGTAGCTAACCCTGTGACGTACTGGCCCTCGAAGTTCGGGAAGTCAGTTGTGCAGCTATGTGGTATGTCAGTTGTAGAAGTCGACTTCAGTAACCCGCCAACTGGAAAGTTGCTGGTCCGCGAAAAAGGCCATACCAGAAGAGTTAAATTTGGCATTCCCTTAAAGCCTTCGGCTTCCCCCGTTCCCAAGTTAGCAGTTTTCCCACCATAATTCTCACATGTCCGTACATGAGTACCGGACGGTTTTAAGCAGCTGGATATGAAATCATACACGAGTAGAGGACACTACCCTAAAGTTTCAGCTTTCTAGCTTTTCCCGTCCCCGGGTTAGTAATTTTCGCGCCAAAACTTCCACGCTCTCGTATGTGGGCCCCGGGCGCTTCTAAACACCTGATTTCGCACGTACATGAGTGGGGAACATCACCCTAGAATTTCAGCTTTCTAGCTTTTTTTGTCCCTGAGTTAGTGATTTTCGCGCCAAAAACCTTCACGTGCCTGTACGTGAACCACGGACGGTCCTAAGGAGCTGAGTTTGAAAACTTTTCATCGTACATGAATAGGGGACATTCCTCCGAAGTTCCAACTCCCTAGCTTTTCTCATCTCCGAGTTATGAATTTCCCCGCCATGATTTTCACGCGCCCGTACGTAAGCCCCGGCCAGTCCTGGGTAGCTGAATTTGAAAATTTTTTGTCATACACGAGTAGGGAACATTCCCCTATGGTTTCAGCTTTCTAGCTTTTCTCGTTCCTCAATTAGCAATTTTTCCGCCAAAACTTTCACATACTCGTACGCGGAGCCCAGACATGCGTGAGAGCTGACACCGCCAGAGTGGCAACTGGCTGAGGAACAGACTGGCAAAATTTAATCTTCAAAGCTTGTGTGGTTGGCCAGTTGAAATACCCTGTTGCAGCGCTTTATCGCTGCACGGCAAAAACGCATAAAAACGGAGGCATCACCGTCGGTAGCACAAAAGCTCATCTAATGACTCTCAATCCATTGTAAAGCCGAAAACGCATGATCGTTACATGTGTCGTGTGCAATACCCAAAATGACAAGTAAGCAAACCAAATTCTGTATTACATAAAAAGAAGGTACAAAAACAAACAACTATCGGAAAAAATCACTGTACAAGTACCAGAAAAATCATCACATGCAGCCTTTGATATAGCAAGGCTGGCATACTAAAAAATTATACATAACAGCACTACCAGCACAAAAAAAACTATACAGCTGAATTCAATTATACAATATAAAACAACCCTCACAAATTTTTTAGCCCAAGCTACTACATAATTCTTAAAAACAATAATAAATAATCCTTCGCTCCACTCCACTTCTCGTCGAGCAGATCGCATGTGCGTTTCGAAGCCACTCGCGATCTGCATAAACTTCCCCGCTTTCACTCCATGTCGAGCAGATCGCATGTGCGGGTCGGACGCGCTTTATCGCTCTGCTCGCGTCCGATGAACTCGGATTGGAGTTCCAATTCGCTGCGGAAGGCCGTTCGCCTTCAAGTAAGCCCGACGGTTCATCGCGCTCACCCGCATTTTCAGGCGACCGCCTAGGCTGCCTTGGAGACATTCACATGCGCGCCATCCTTCACAGCATTCCTGCAAATCAACTTATAAGAGAGTGGGCAAACTACAATAGCTGTGATTGCTGTTGCTCAAAAATGGGCACCTAAACCTCACTGGGTCGTTGTCGTGCAACAAGCTATGATGAAATTAGTGTGCGATAATGCAGTTAGTTCCAATCCGCCTTGCTAATCCCTGTCACCAGAATTACAGAAAGAATGCGAAACATGGAAGACAGGGAAGCGCAAAGTTGCAAAAGACAATCATTGAGGCAATAAAATATAGTTATACTTGGCATGCGTAGAGGACATCCTGTAGTGCACACATCTGTGTCCCGGCTCCGCCGTCATCCATAAAAATTAATATAATTTCTCTTCTGCGAAGCGTTCTTAGTCGGCCAATTACAAAATATGCACAGCGACCAAATGGTGGGCTGAAACATGCACAGTTGGAGGGGACTACTCAAGCAGCGATTTCTTTCGCCGGTTCTCCACGCTACTTATCTATTTTCGTAAATCTCAAACACTAAGGTAAGAGGGCAGAATCTTGCTTCGCCCAACAAAACAAACGATAATGCCATCGCATCATCCAACGTTCACAACAGAGCTCACAATGAAGCTTCCGAAGCTGATTCCAGCTTATCCGCCTTCGCTCTTGCGCCAGTTCAGCCGTAATCACGAAATGTCACTCAGGGGATTAATCCGCCCTGTAGCCCTCCAAGTAAATTCATACGGCCGAGGAATTTGCATCAAAAACACTTGGCATTAAGTTTCGCGAACATCGTGCCACAGATGTGGCGGTGGTAGTCCCATAAACTCATTAATGGAATACATAAAGAAACGAGCTGGGACACACTAGGTCCCTTGCTGCTCGCACAAGCACGAGCAAAAAAAGTTCACGTGGGTTAAACTCTGGGATGAAGACAATCCAATTCGATGGAACAGTGGAGAGACGGAAGGAGCGCAAATCCACGCAGAAACCGAGAAATCCCAGCTGAACATAACACCCAGCTAGAGCGCAGAATTGGGTACAACTCACTCGCCAGATGAATGCTATTTCAGCTCATCAAAGTGGGATCGTCAAAACTCACATGTAATTCAAAAACTAGGCAGGCTATTTCTTCGGAAAAGTGAGGAGAGGAAACACGCAACATATCCGCCCATCCTCGATCTCCAACCAAAAAAAAAAGAAACCCCAAAATATGCAATTATTACCAGTACATCACCGGCGACAGCAGCAGGAGCAAACGCGCCGTCAAAAATAGCCCACCGCTTCCAACATCGAGCACCCATCGCTGGCGCTCGGAGCAAAGTATCGCTTGCAGCAGCCACAGACACCTCCGAGTGATCGTGTATCGGTCTAAATAGGATTAACTTAAGACGGGACACTAAAATCAATCCCC